TTTTTTTTTTCTTATTAAAGATAAAAATCTGTTTTCCGATTCATATGTTAGGATATTGTCTCAGTTGGTCATTTCTGAATGTTGTCACGTCCAATGGTCGGCAATTGTCATGTAAATTTATTGTAATAATACTCACCAATTACATTTGTCAGACGATCAGCTTCAATTGACACATTTGCTACCTTTGTTAATGGCATTACGGATTCTAGCAAGACTGATTCGCATTCTCCAATATTTCCTAATTCCGTAACAATGATACTCTCTTTAGGTTCTTCCAATTCACGAGCCTTTTTACTTTCCGGCTTTGAAATTTTAAACTCCGAGGTTGTATCTTCAATATGAACTTCAGTTTTCAATGCAACTTCTGTCTTTACGACGTCAGGCAATGCACTGACTTCCTTTATCGTTTCTTTGTCTTCTTGTTTAGTTTCTTTTTCAGTTGTCATAATTTGAGTTACTTCGAAACTTTCGGAAGTTCGGAAAGTAACCTCAGCAGTTGCCATTGATATTGTTTTATCGATGACAAGATTGCGCTCACTTTCTTGCGGAACCGTTTGAATTTCTTCAAAAGTTTCGTAAGGTATTTGTTCGGGTATTATATTTTTGGTTTCCGGTGCAATTGTTTCGGCAAGAGTTTCCGTAGTTGATGACGTTATAACTTGAGATTTTTGAGCAACCTGCCTGCCGAACAAACTCGACAATGCTGTTTGTTTCGTTGGCTCTTCAGGAGTAGGAAGATCTTTTTCTATTTCGCTGGTAGCAACTTCTGATATTGATAGCGATGTTAATTCTTCCAATTGCGGTTTACCTTTTTGTTCTTCCGGTAATTTGGGATTTTCTAATTGGTCGACATTAGTTACCGTTAATATTTCGGATATTTCAGCGGCTTCGACACTCAACATATTTGGGAATGCTTTACGTTCCGTCGGTACATCCGGACTTGGTAAAGTTTTTTCAGCTTCGTTGAATATCACTTCGGAAACTACGAGGGAACTGAATTCCTCTACTTCGGGTCTCCTTTTCTGAGTTTCCGGTTTCTCCAATTTAGGCATTTCTTCGACAGTCGAGACAGTTAAGATTTCAGTTTTCTCGGCTACTTCTCTGGTAAGCAAATTTGGTTTTGCTATCTTTTGATCAGGTTTTTCCGGACTTATTAAAGTTTCCTCAGATTCGTTAGATACTATTTGACATACTGATACGGATGTTAATTCTTCGAAGTGTGCTTTGCCTTTTTGTTCTTTTGGTATTTCAGGTTTACCCAATTCTTCGGCGTTACTCATAGATAACACTTGACTAGTCTCAGCAACTTCTCTGCCAGATAATAAAGACGTTGCCATAAATTTATTCGGTATTTCTGGACTCGGTAATACATCTTCGCTTTCATGAGAAACCACTTGGGAAACTAATACGGATGTTAATTCCTCTAATTGTGGTTTTCCCTTTTGTTCACCCGGTTTAATAGATTTAGAGAATTCTTCCGCACTGGTCATGGTTAATATTTGACTTATCTCGGCCACATCTCTCCCGGTGAAACTCGGTTGTGCAGTTTTCTCGGCAGGTTTTTCCAACGTCGCCAATGTGTCTTCCATTTCGTTTGACAATATTTGAGAAATAGTCAACGGTGACAATTCCTCAAAACTCGGATAACCCTTTTGCTCGTCGGGTAATTTGGATTCAATCAATTGTTCGGCACTCGTCATGGTCATAACTTGTATCGTTTCAGCCACGTCCCGACCAAAAATATTTGCTTGTGCTTCTCTTTCGGTAGGAACTTCCGGACTGGGCATTGTTTCTTCCACTTCGTTAGATATTATTTGTGATACCGTTAACGATGATAATTCTTCTAAACCAGGTTTACCTTTTTGCTTTTCAGGTTCTTCAATTGTTACCAATTGTTCGGCACTTGTCATAGTAAACACTTGACTAGTTTCAGCGATATCTCTGCCCAACAAACTCGGTTGTGCTACCTTTTCCGATGGCATTTCTGCACTTGGCAAAGTTGTTTCAGCTTCGTTCGAAACTATTTGCGAAACAGTTAATGAAGTTAATTCTTCCAAACCCGGTTTACCTTTTTCTTCTTTCGGTACTTTAGTACTTAAATCTTCGGTTTCCGTGCTAATCATTACTTCGGTTGTTTCAGCTACTTCTCTACCGGAAATATTGAATTGTGCCGTTTGATCTTTCGGTAATTCCTTTTTCAATAAAGTATCTTCCGTTTCGTTTAGAATTATCTCAGAAACGGATACGCTAGAAAATTCTTCTACTTCTACTTTCGTTTGTTTTTCCTCAAATTTAAGATGTTCCGTTATATCTTCGGCTGTTCCTACGGTTAATACTTGTAATGTTTCAATAGCTTCTTTACTTAATAAATTGGCAAGTGCTTTTTGTTCTTTCGGAACGGTCGATACTGGCAAAATATCTTCGGTCTCGTTTGAAATAACTTCGGTAATCGTAACTGTACTTAATCCTTCGTATTGTGGTTTTCCTTTTTGTTCGGTCGGTTTAAAATCTTTCCCTTCGAATGTATCCTCACGTTCGCCCAACGTCGTTTCCGTTTCGATAACAGCCTCCCTCGGAATTTGCGATAAAGTTGCCTGAGAAGAAATTGGTTCTTCTTTTTGAATTTCTTCAACATTTTGCACGCCTTCTATCAATGATCTTTGTACCGTTTCGAATAATCCAATTTCTGTAGTAGCTTTAACCTCTTGTCGTTTAGGTGCAACATCAAATACATCTTCCTTGTCATCCGTAATTATTTCGGATATTTGCAAAGGTTTGTTTTGTTGAAAATCGATGTCTGCCTTTTGCATCGATGGCTTAAAAATACCCTCGAACGTTTTCTCACTTTCTTCGATTAATTTTTGTTCAACGATAATACTTTCGAACGTATCACGCAAGGCTGTTGCTTTTTGCGGCATGACACTTAGATCTTTGGTATCCTTTTCAGGTATATTAACTTGCGATTCTATAAGGGTTGTTTCGATCGTACCATGTTCCGTAATGATCGTTGAAGAAGCTGTTTGAGATGGGGCAAGTTCTTTGGTTTTTAAAGATTCTTCAATCTCAGCGGAGGTCACTTCGGTTACAGAAATACTGTGACCCTCTTCAAACATGGTATTGGCAGTACTAGAAATTGTTTTAGGATATTTATCGAACAAACCTTCGCTTTCGGCGCTAGGAATATCTTCGATAATTAACGGCTCCAACGTATCTTGTTTCGTGTGAGCTTTCATTTCAATTTTTTCAAACGGTTTAACAGAACCAGTACTTTGTTCTATTAATAATTCAGATGTTTCGGCAACGTCCATTCCAATTCTCGTTAATTTCATTTGTGCTGTACCATGCGTATATTCCGGTACCGTCATTATATCTTCCTTATCTTGCGTTACTACGGTATCAATTATTATACTTTTTTCTTCAACGAAAGCAATTTCCGCGCTACGTTTGTCGAGTTCCAATTTATCCGAAATTATCGTACTTTGTTCTTGGGGAATAGTTTCGTTGATGTTTATTGATTCTAATATAGATTGAGTACGGTGGGCTTCTGATACAGTTGGTTTTATTGCTTCCGGTAACGTGCCAAGACCTTCGCGTAAATTAACTTCAAGTTGTTCAGCAACTTCTTTAGCATCCAACGAAGGAATTGCCGTTTTTCCGGCAGGTTTCTTTTCCAAAACAAGTTCTGATTCGACGTCTTGCGTAACGGTAGCTTCCGTGATCGCTATGAATCTATTATCGTCTAAAGCAACGCGTGCCTTAGTCGTAGTTAACGATACTTTATCAACCGTGTCTATTTCCTTCTCGCCTAAAATCTCTTCGGTCAATTGAACCGTTTCGTAAGGTTTTTGTCCAATTTGTGCTACAGCCGAGGATGGTTTAATTATATCCAATTTACCCGTGCTCAAATCAGTTATAATTTCAGTCTTTTCAGCAACCTCGTGTCCAGTAATAATACTTGGTACAGCTTCTTGACTTCTATCTTTGAAAGTTGTAAGTATGTCCTCTTTGTCAGATATATTAACCTCCGTGACGGTTGTAACGCGTTTACCTTCTTCTATCGACGTGTGAATTTCGTGCGGGGTTGGTTTGAATTTTCCTTCAAATGGTGCTTCCTGATCTTGAGGAATATCGTGAGTTATTAACAAACTTTGTTGCACTTCCTGAGTTGGGATTGCAGTTTTTGCATCTGGTTTCTTTAGATGAACTTCACCAACCGAATCTTCGGTAGTTATTGTAGTTGTTTCCGCAATTCCATGACCGGAATCTATTCCACGAAGGGCTGAATGTTTCGATGGTTGTTCTTCGGGCACATAAACGGATTCTTTTTCATTGGTAGTCACTTGGGATACGGTAACAGTTGTCCTATCGTATTCCAAACCTACGTTAGCTGTTTTATTTTCCGGTATTGACGTTGGTAAGAATTGATCTTCGCTTTCTTGAACGATCGGTTGTGATTCGATTAAAGGTAACAACGGTATGTGTTCAGGTTTCACCGTTGACATGGATAATTTTTCTTTTATCAATTCTGCAGTAGTATGATCGACAATTTGCATCATCGTTTCGGCTACCGTGTGACCCTCTACATAAGTTTTACCCGCTTTTCGTACTTCAGGCATTTCTTTTGGCTTGTATTCATTCTCTTTATCTTCAGTAATAACTGTTGATATTTGTATACTTTGTTCCTCTTCCATAGCCAATTCTGCTGTTGCTTGGATAGGTAATTTATCTTTGGATAATGGTGTTTCGGATTCAGATGGTTGTATCTCTGACGTTACTATTGTTTCCAATGGAACATTAGAAGGTGTTGCAATAACCGTTAACGTTTTAGAATCTTCTACTTTTCCTACGCTAAGGTCTATTGTAATTTCTTCTTTCTCGGCTATTGGATGACCTATTATTTGAATACCTGCCTTCTTTTCGATTGGTTTATCCGGTATCTCAAGAATAGCTTCTTTGTGTGCCGCAATTTCTGTACTTTCTGTTACAGAAATCAGTTCATTTATTCCAATTTCCGCTTTATTACCTATAACAGGCTTTTCTTGAAATTCTCTTTCAGTTTCCGAGATAATTGTTTCCATTTGTATGATACTTTCGAACGGTAAACGTTCTTCTTTAGCTGCGGCAACGGTATGAGCTGAGATATCTAAAATTCCTGGATGCGTTGCCGGTGTAATTTCTGTTTGTTGGGCAACTTTGTGAGCATCAAAAGCTGCCACTGCTTTCTCACCTTCAATAAATGCTGCCGGTGTATAATCTTTTTCTTTATCGGACGTTATGGTTTCTAATATGGTTACTCCGTGTTCTTCGTCGAACGTAACATTAACCATTTTATCCTCAGGTTTGACGAATGTAGGAAGTGGTTGTTCCAAATCACCGGTTGATATTTCCGATGTGATCAAACTACGGAAAGTAATATGATCCGTAGTAGCCGTGACGGATGTTACTTCTTCCCGTTTGAAATCAGCTATGTTATCCGTGGTGGTTGTTTCGCTAGTTTGAGCTACAACGTGTGTAGGTATGTCGAACGTTACCGATTTTGATTCTGGTTTTTCTTCCTCTGGCAAAGTACTCTCCTTATCTCCAGGTATTACCGAAGAAACTATCACACTTTCACCCATGATAAATTCAAGCGTAGCTTTTTTGTCGAACGGTTGAATATCTGATAATGGTGCTTCCCTTTCCGTAGTTTCAACTTGTTCAGAAATGGTAGTTTCGAACGGTAAGAAAGTGGCTTGCGATTGTGCGGTTTTCGTAGGCTCGATAGATAATTTGGACAAATCAGTATCGCTCATTATCTCAAACGTAGATGCCACATTTTGCGTAATAATATCTACGCTTGCCTCGACACCCTTTGGTTTAGATTCTTCGTCGAATCGTCCTTCTTTTTCTTCAGGATGCGTCATGACAATTTCAAGACCCTCGCCTTCTTCGAAAGTAACTCCTACCTTTTTGCTTTCAGGTTTAACGTCAGCCTCCAACGGTGATTCCTTTTCGGAAATTGATATTTCAGTTTGTTGTACGATATTCAATCCACTTTGTTCCTGAATTGCACTTTCCTCTTTTGGTTTGTCTTCCTTCAGAATATTTACGTTACTAGCAAGAACAGTTTCATGCATTTCTGCAACCTCGTGCGTATCGCTTATGTTCATGGCCACTTTACGTTCCTTCGGTACTTCCTCGATCGATAATTTTTCTTCGTTCAACATGGCCGTAATCTCGCTGACCATTAACGTTTCCGGTCTCGTAAAAAATTCAATTTCCGCGCTTTGTTCGACAGGACGTACGTCGATTTCTCTAGGTTTACCCGTTTCCGCAATATTTGTTTCCGTTACGATCAATTCTTCTAAAGTTTCTTGTTGTTGAATTGCCTTTCCCGTTTTAGGAATCTCATCAACTATCGAACCGGTAGATTGTTGTATTAATGTTTCTGATTGCGATGCTATGGTATGACCAGTTATTGATGTTTGAACTGTATAATCCTTTGTCTTTTCCATAGGTGCATAAATCATCTCTTTATCGTGAGTTACTATTTCAAGAATACTTAATCCACTTTTACCTTCCGTATAATCTACATTGGCAATTTTCTGTTCCGGTTTTACATCGATGTTGTAAATATCCTCTTTTTCGGCAGTTTCTTGTACCTCTACCGAAATACTTTCGAGTGGTATCCGTGATTCCTCAGCTGTCCTTGACGTTGGTCTTTCCTGCGGGACAAATTCATTAGTCGGAGATTCGGTTCTAACTTCCTCGGATATCGGTGCATTGTGCGTTATAAAATCTGTCGTAGCGAATGCTCCTTTAACGTCTGATACCGTAGTATATTCGGCTTCCTTTTCACTGGTCACGATCATGGTTGTATGAACACTTTCTATTTCGTCGATAGTTATTTCAGCCTTTTTCATATCAACAACTTTGTCATCTTTTACTGGAACTAATCCTTCAGCCGGTACTGTTTCTTTTACTATGGTCTCCTGTAAGCTTACTGCACCTATTGCAGCTACCGCAGAGGATGGTATTTCTTTGACAACTTCGCCAACGTTATCTTCGGGATGAGTTTCCTCGATTTGTAACGATACGACCGGATGAGTTGGCACAGTTTTACCATGATGGGATTCCGGTAATTCAAATATCTTCAATTCACTTTCTTTTTCTATCGAAGTGGTTTGAAATACTTCAACACCTCGCATCGCATCGTACGAAGTTGCAATCGTACGTTCTTCTGGTTTCGTTGTTTCCTCTAATTTGGATTCCTTATCGTGGGTAAGAGTTTCGTGTATCATTTTAGCTTCCGTTAATTCTACGATTAAGTTACCACTTTCCGATACGTATTTTAATTCATCTTTAAAATCAGACGGATAATCGGCCGTTTGAACTTGAGATATTTGTAAATATTCTTCAGGTCTAATCGACGTTTCTGCCAAAAATGCTGTTGGTTTTTGATCGATGCTATACGGTCCTTCCGATTCTTGAATCATCGTACTGGTGACAGAACCAATTTCCAACGTTGAAATCGATGTTTCGGCAAGTTTGCTAACCGGTTTTTCATCCGGTTGATAATCTTGTTCCTTTTCCGAAGTAATCGTTTCTACGGTGGTAGCCGAAGTTATTTCTATGACACTCAAATTAGCTTGTACCGTTTTATTTTCTTCTACTTTAAGGTCAGTTTCTTTTTGATGGGTATCAACGGTAGACACTGTTACACCTTCCAACAAAGTGATTTTATCGGTTGCCTCAAAAGTGTCCGTTTTTCTATCGGGAACAAAAATGCCTTCGCTTTCTTGAATTAAATTTTGTTGAACAATGGCCGTCTCAGTGTCATAAGAAATACCAATTTGTGCTTTTTGACTCGGTGGCAATTTACCTGGCACGTATTCACCTTCCTTTTCCGGTGCGTGTAATTCTTCAGTGATCCTTTGTTTTTGAGCTATGATCGATTGCGTTGCTACTTCCGTGGGTACTATCAATTCTGGATAATATTTTCCAGGTTTATCCTCGGCGCAAACTTCTTCTATAATAAGTGGCTCGGTAGTCGTAACATTGACCCTAGGCTTCGTAGGAATATTTTTAACAATTTCAAGTTTGTCCTCTAACAAAGCTTCTTGAACCTCGTAAACGGATAACCCAACTTGAGGTAAGAAATTGTCCTCAGCTTTTGCCGTAAGCGGTGAAACGAAATCTTCGGTGGGTACTTCGTTTTGACTGACCAATGTTTCAGAAATTGTTTTAGCTTCTTGCAAGGTCAAACTGGTATCAGCTGTTCTAAGAATTTCTGGTTTGCTCAACGTTAAATCGGATAAATCTGCATCGTTGGTTAATATTTCGCTTACCATTAAACTTTCGGATGGCGTAACACCTGGAATAGCTTCATAAGTATTCGGTTTAAATTTATCTAAAAATTCAGCAGCCGTAGCTTGAACATTAGTTTCCGTAATAGAATAAGGTTCTACGATCGATACCGTAACCGATGCTTTTTGTTCGATCGGTTTTTTAACGTCAACACTATCAATTTCTTTTTCTTGTACAGGTTGAAGATGTTCAGTGAGCGCACTGACCGTATCAACGGCTAGCTGAGCTTTCTCAACTTTGGGTTTACCAGGAGCTTGTTCAACTGTACGATTGAAAGGTACAACCTCGTGAAGTTGACCAGGTACGTTTAATATAACAGTAGGCATAGATTTATCTCGTTTTATTTCAAATTCTTCGGCTTCCTCCAATTGTATTTCATCCTCACCGATATTCGGTTTCTTTGCTTTCAATTGTTTACGTTTATGAATTATTTCTTCCTCTATTATCTCTTCTTCCATTTCCTTTTTCTCATCTTTTATCTTATCCATTACCTTTTTAACAATATCTACTTTATCTTTTGGAATCAGTCTGCCTTTAGAATCCTTCTCAATGACAATTATTTCTTCTTCTTCTTCTTCTTCTTCTTCTACGTCCTCTTTCTTCTTCTTCCTGTCCTTTTCAATCTCTTGGATTTCCTCGATTTCTACTACCTGTACCACCCCCTCATCCCTATCCTGCGGTTTATCTTCAATGCGATCCTTCGGTTTCCTATCTTTTCGCTTGCGTAGTGTTGTGTGTGCCTGCCGTGTGTCCTCGTATTCTGCGGAAAGTATGTGAGATTTTATGTGTAAGACGCGTTATGTGTATCTTTTTTTTTTTTTTTTGATCAATGTGTTAACCTCTACTTCTGCTAATTTATTTTTTTTTTTTTGGTTTTTAATTTCAACTAGCTTTTTAGTAGTTTTCTTTAGCCCTTCCCTCACTCGCTTTGCCTACATATATATATATATTTATTTATACACTCTTGCATACTTCATGCGACGAATCAGATAGTAGTTATGCTAAAAGAGAAAAATAAAACGCTTACGATTCATTTTACACGAGTCATGGCACGAATCGTGCTTTCCTTTTTTTTTTCGGATATTATGATATATATATATTTACACAATATAATATAATATTATAATTATTTTCTATGAGTTTTAATAATATATATGTATATATAATAATAATAAATAAATAAAAATTGTTTTGTGTTTGCAAAAGAGTATTATAATAATATAGTGTAATTTGTCGACATAATTCATGTAAAATGAATCTTTATTTTTTTGTTTGGTTTTTTTTTTTTTTTTTTCATACAATATCGTGCTTTATTCAACGAAACGTGAATACAACCTACACGAGCTAGAAAAAAAAAAAAGGAAAAAAACCCAACGAACAATTAAAAACGAACAAAAAACGAGTAATACGTGTTTTATGCTGTTTAATAATCGTTTTCCAACGATGTCGTATATATATTTTATTCGAGATATATGTCTTTTTTTTTTTCTTTTTTTTTTTATGTATATTTTGTAAAGTATATATATTATATTTGTTAATAATTGTAATGGATCTATAATAATTCGATTAAAAAAAATTGCTTGGTGGGGGGTGGAGGGCCGCCGGGCATTTTTTAATTTGATACGATTTTTAATTTACGACATTTTTGGAATGTTTGTGCTGTGTCATTTATGTACAGGCAAGTGTCATGCGTTGCTTGATAAACAAGTAATATGTGAATGTAGAAATGGAAGATTGTAATGATTGTAAAGAAAAGATGATAGTTTTTCAAAGAAGTCAAACCAACATAGACACCAACGGAATAATATCATTGTTATATTATATTACAAAGTTATTTGCAAATTTTATATCCTTCTCTACTTAATATATATTTTATTAAAATTAATACTATCATAGTAGAATAAGAATAAGAATAAGAATAATAAGAAGAGAAAACACACCAAATGTTGCTGTGAATGAATATGTATATAACTTAATAGATAAAATAATTGGTGAAGTTAATTATAACTTCGGAATGATACTTTTGGAATTTTCTTTTTTGTTTTTTTTTGTTTTCTCGTATATGATCATTTGCATGTAATAAGATTTATTACGTTGACAAGTTAATTTTTTAGGATTAATGAGAAGAAAAACAAGTTCGTTAACAAAAAAAAAAACAGATCACTATAAAAAAAGCGCATCGATGATTATAATTATTAATTAGTAATTGCATCTACTTACATTTATTTACGTTTCAGCATATAGCGAAGCTCTTTGTTTTTTTTTTTTCTTTTTTTTTTTCTATTTTATAGCTGCAATACTACTCGAGGCGTGATTTGGGTAAATGGTATTTTGTTGTTGTTTTTTTTTGTTTTTTTTTTTTTTTTTTTTTTGTTGGGATAATAATTAATAATTTGGATATAATAATTATAAGGTTATTTTGCGCGTGGAAAGCATAGCGGCTTAAGCAGAAATCAAATTGCACTGGAATTTTGATTCGATCATAGTAAAGCTTCATGCAGATCTGAAAGAATAAAAAGATCAAACGTAGAAAAGCGTATCCTTAAAATGATATCAGTTTTCTGTTTTTTGTTTTTTTTTTTAAACTGGTTAATAAAAATGATTTGTGAATATTATTTTCTATTCTTTTTTTTTTTTTCTTCATTTTTGTTTGTTTTTTTTTTTTTTGAATTATACAAAAATAAATCCACCTTCTCTTTTTTTATCTCGTATTTCTTTTTTTTTATTCGTGTTCGTAGAGATACGATGGATAAAAAAAAATTAATTATGATACGTAGCGAAATTAATACCATCGTTCAAATTTTAACTTTTATCTATAACAATTTTATATTTATTTTTAATAATATACGTGTGGTATTAATCACGCCACCACGAATGATGATAAATTATATAATGGCATAAGTAATGATTAAAAAAAAAAAAAAAACATAAAAAAAGAAAAACAAATAGATCGTTTATCCGCGTTTATCAAAATAATGATATTATTAATTAACCCATGCATCTCTCGTAACTCGTTCTATCAAACCTTTAATTTCTTGAATATCCTGCTTGAGAATGGCTTTCCTCTCGTCTCTTCTTTCTGCAATCAGAAAATGTTTTCCGTCGTTGTTGTTGCATTTTTAGGGAACAGAAATAAGAAAATACAACAAAGAAATCAAACGCAGGCAGGTTATGGCACAAATATTTGTAATAATATTTATTCAACGATTATAAATATACAACGTAGATATAGATAGAAAGAAAGAATAATTAAAATAGAAACAAAAAACAATTAATATTAAGTTTATCCGCATTTCACGTTAAGAAGCAACAAACATTTTGTAATATCAAACATGTTAAAATGCTTAATTTAATTAAATACACTCTTAAGTATATGGCATAATAATAATAATAATAATAATAATAATTAATATGATATAACAATAAATTAAATAAAACGCTTATATTTAATAGTCATTTAATAAAAATAAAAATAAAAGATATAAGTAGTAGAAAATTAGATAAAAACAATCCATGTACAATTTGGTATAATTAGTTTTACAAAAAAAAAAAAAACATGTCACACCACGCAATCTAAACTTACCCATGATATGGACTTCTGTCTTATGGACGGCATCGATTCTTTCCATAACGTGTTGCTCGGTTTCAACCTAAACACATTTTATTATAACAATCGAAAATAATTATTTTAATTAAAACACTTTAATGGCTATCTCATATCTTACACAATCAAACGTTTTCCAAAAATTATTGATATTTCTTAATTTAATTTTTAATTCTTGCCTTCTTAACACACAAATCACATAATTATTATTAATCCCAAAAATTATATTTAAATTCATATATATATCCTAATATATAATTAATAATAATTTTCAATAGTATTATCACATACACACATATTACTTAAGCAGCCATTAAAGTACATTAAATATAATATTACATTAAAATAAAATTGAAGATATATATAATCATCTAGGGAATTTATAATTCGTACCTCAGTCACTTCAGTGACTTCCCAAGCACGTGGACGGAAGTCCTCAGGTACGAAATGCGTAATAACTTCCTCCACGGTTGCATGTTGCAATTCGATCATTCTCATAAAAGCCCTGAACCCAATAGTCGCTGCTACGATACTTTCATCCGTGGTTGTTTCCTCGGTTAATACTTGACTGATAAGAGGCCCATGACCTTCGCGTTCAACCAATTGGACTAATGCATTTTGTGCATCGGGTGTTCTCAATGCTGGAAACTTGTCAGTAGTGTAAAGACTCTCATTTATTTCCGTAACCGAGACACCTTGCCGTACGAGATAACCAATGGTTGCTAATTCACGTAATGGACTTTCACCTGGTCCAAATTCTTTAGCTTGAAGAACCTCAAGGATTTCTTCAACTTCCCTGGCAATGTGTTCTCTTTCCTTTTCAAGGATTTCTTCAACAGTAACCACCACCTCTTCCTCGCGTATTCTCATTTTTTCACCTTTCTTCTTTTTCTTTGGCTTTTCCTCGATCATTTCTTCGGTTTTAACTTGTGTTATCTCGACTTGCTGTTGTTGTCCTTGACTTATAACTTTTTTAGCTTTTTTCTGTTTAGTTTCAATTCGTTTGATATCTTGTACGTCGGTCTCGGTACGTACCTCAGATACAGAAATTGTTTCCATTATTTCACTAGTTGTTTCTCTAGCACGATCAATCGTTCTTTCTACTTTGAAATCAGGTGCAACATCTTCCGGTTTTATTTCCGATATTATCAATGTACTTTCGCGTTCCTCGATTACGGGTTTTGCTTTTTCCTTTGGCCAATCTTTTTCTCGTGGTTTTTTATCATCGATCTTTTTCATCGAAGCAGTTGCCTCGGTTATCACTGGTTCTTGAACGGGTACGATTTTTTTAGCCCGAGATACCTGCCACAACGTTATAATATATCAATGAAAATTATTTACAATTTCATTGGATTTTTATTAATTGGAAAATATTTTTCAATTATACCTCTTTCGTTTTTTCTTCGAAGGTTGTTGCACTCTCCAATACTTGTGTTTCTTCGATATCCACGATTTTTCTAAAAAAATACAAACGTAACAACGTAGATAACGATGTTAAATGTTAAATTATTGTTAAATCATTTTTTGATTATTTATTTTATTTCAAATATTATACTCACTTGTCTTCGGGTTGTTCTGTACCAATCGGTTCTTCCGTAAAGATTTCTTTTTTATCAACTTTAACGCGTTCCGTTTTAACCTTTTCTTTCAATTCCTTGGCCTTTTTCAATTCTGGTTTCTTCTTTTTAATTACTTTCTTTTGTTTAACTTCGACAACCTCTTCTTCGGCTTCGTCTTCCGACATTGGTTTCCATTCAGTTTCAGTACCTGACACGTTATTAATTATTATTATTATTATTATTATTCATTTTTATCAGGATTACTATTATAATATTATTAAATATTCTCTTACCAGTCACGTGTATTTTTGCTTTTGTTATTGCCAAACCGATATCACTCGTAGCTTTACAAACGTAAGTAGCTTCGTCATCTCTGGTTGCTTTCAAAATGGTCAGAGTAGTTTTCTTCTCTTGATCGATTATACGAATTTTAATATTTTCCGTATTCATTATTAATTTGTCATTTTTGTACCAAACAACGTCTGGATTAAAAATAAATACGTATCGTTAAATCGTATCAGAAATAATACATTCAAATTTTAATCGGATTTATCGCAGGAACAAATGTTTTATATAATTTTAATAATTATTGTAATAATTTTAATTCAAAATACAATGATAAATTAAATCGTCATTGTTATCTCTAATTAAAAAATATAATCATTATGATATTATTTAATAGTATGATATTACCTGGAACAGGATTACCGGAATATATGCATTCGAATATAACTTTTTCTCCTTCATTAACATAAACGTCTGTTATTTCTTGAATAAATCGTGGTATGGATTGCGTGGCTGAAATAACAGTAATCATAAATTTATATCCACATAAAATAATATCCTTACGAATTAATATGATATATAAATATATAAATTATATATATAAATTATATATATAAAATATATTTTGTACCTGATTATAATAATGATGATCGCTTGATTGGCATGATCCCAATGTCAGTAATCTGATTAGATGAAAAACACAAACGTACACACACAAAATATCGTGCAAAATATAATGTTTAAATAAAATGAAATATTTGTCTGTGTTAGTGATGATAATAATATACCTGACATTGTCCCCCTTTCATCCTCACTATGATGATGCTCGTATGTAACTTCTTCTGATGTTGATATGTTGCTCGCTAAACCAAGATTTCCACTGCATTGACTTTCCAAAAGCAAAAATTCTTGCAATTCCTCTTGACTATCAGCTGTATGCAATTGTTGGAATGCTTCTAATTCAATTTCTCTGGGTTCCAAAGGATACATCCTTGAATCCATGGTCAAATTACCAAAGTGTCGTTCCTTGGACCATCTTGGTACTGGTATTCGAGATTTTGGATAAGTATGATATTTCCTAACGTGTTCGTATTTAACATCGTTGTCCGTTTTTAATTCTTTCATTGCAGATGAATTTCCTTGGATAGAAATTTTGTTCAATCGAAAATCAAATTTACTTTGATCATTGTTGGACGACGTTTCGTTGTTTTCCTCGATAGGGGATAAATAAAATGCAACTTCGGGTACGTTCAAATATGTTCCACGTTCGACATTGAAATCTGATTGTCCTTGAATTTTTTTCTCCAATTTTGGCGGTGGAAATTCATCGAAATCCAACGTGATTTTTGGTTTAATTTTTTTCATAGTCATGTCCTTCGCAACAATTTCATGTAATTCGTTTTTCTTCGTTTTATCTTCGTGTTGATGTGTTACGCGTGTAATATTGATAAATGATTTTTCATTAGACGTTTGTTTAATCGACAAAGAAGTTCTAGTTGACGATGACGATGATTGTGATTTGTTAGAACTTTGTTTGTTCAATTCTTTGTTAGATTTATTCGACGAATCTATAATACTCGAATGTTGTTCTTTCAATGATGATACTAATCGTGTTTTTATATTTATATTATCATCAGTTAAATGTGTTAATTGTTCAGGATTATCATGAATTTTTGATCTTTGATCTTTTGTCAAAATTTTCGTCGAAATTTTCATCAGATTTATTTTTCCTTTCGTTTCTTCTTCCGTTTTATCGGATACTTCGATTAAATTATTCGTTTCCATTTTATCAAGTCTCTTATCAGTTTTCATATTTTTTATTTGTATTTCGGATTGTTCGTTCAATTGCGAAAGATTTGATTCAATTTTTTCTAACTTTCTATGCAATTCTTTCATATTATTTTCTGTCATGGTTTTTACGTTAACAATATATCCCCTCGAATTATTTAAATACGTGTCATCCAATTCGCTTTTCATTTCGATTGAATTCAAACGTTTCTTGGAAACGTATAATTTCTTTGAAATTTCAATCGTATTTTTACCCTCGTCGATAGTTTTCATCGAAATATTTTCATCGATTGTTCTCCTCGACTTATCTTTTTTCCAAACAATTGTTTTTTTTCTTACACTATCATAATCGTTCAAACTGCATTCGGTTTCACTCGGCATGCTATCAGACAATTCCAATTGATTCTTACCTCTTAGTGCTTCTTGCATTTCTTCCATCTGTGTTACCCATTCCGGTTTTCTATATTCTTTCGTTCCGAGAATACCTAACGACATATTATTATTATTATATCAAATGTAATTATTCGTGTCCCTTTCAGTCCCATAATATTTCAAAGCAACAACACACATGATTGAAAATAATTAATCGTCGATATAATATTTTATTAAAAGCAGGAACATTAGCATTTATTATAATATCATTGATAATAGAACAAATAAAATAAACAAATAATATTGACGAGCCTTTATTTGCTTGAACATCTTTTTTTGTTTATTTTTTTTTTAATTGTTGGGACTCAAAGGGCTCGACAGATTTTTCTTTTCCACAATCGAATTTATTTTCGCAAAAGAAATATCAAAATAATCATTGTGCATATAGGATGTAATTGAGTGTTCGTTCAGTGTGATAGAATTATTGTGATAGTCGGATTAGGATTTGGAGGATAATTAAAAAGATGCTCGATAAATGATTCATTCCGTCCAAATGCGTAGAACTGAAAATAACTAGGATAATAAATTAGCGAAAAATTTTCTTCGACAATAAATTTCATAACATTAATGATTCGATCATGATAATTACCTTCTACGGACAAATATGTAGTTGTTGTTGATACACCTAATGGATTATGCGCTTCGAATACTATTTCACCGGTGTCATCGGGATAAGTTTCTGCTATTGTTAACACCGAAGTACCATCTTCAAATTCTTCGATTTGAAATTCTTGAGACGATACTATTTCCACTCCTTGTTTAAACCATTTTCCTTCTGGCTTTGGCTTCCCTTTGACCTTAACTTCCAATCTACGATTAAAAAAAAGAAACAGATAGTGATCATAAATGATAATCATTTATTTAGATATTTGTTTAATCTATTTTTATAATTTTCTTTTTGTTTTTTCATATTTTTATTACCTGGTTAATTCTCCATCTTTGGTAGGAATTAACTGAGGAAGTTTCTTTATTATTTCTGGAGCAGATTCCTCTGTATCGGTATCGAATAGAGGTGTCTCCTGAAAATAATTCAATAAAAAATAGATTTAAATAATCAATATATATATTTCTTTATATTTTATTAAAAAAAATTAACGATAAAAATATTTTCAATATATATATGTTGTCAATTTAAATATATATGTGTGTATGTGTGTGATAATTAACCAGGTTGGAATAATCGATGATAAAAATGAACGGACGCCCGGAAGAATCGAACGCACGCCATTGGATATTTGTACTTGATGGATCCTCAGATTTATCGCGAGGTTATCGAGCGTTAATGCGAGTTTCGTGTAGCTCGAGTCTCGCCTCAAGATGATTTACAATCTTAATAGGACATGACGTTGAAATTTCGCTCGATCATTCCACCCTCGTCCTCACTTCTTTCCTTTTCCGAGCGTAACCGAGTCGACGTGATAATTGAATCGCATCATTGTGTCGTCGATTAAGAATAAAAAGAAGAAGAAAAAGAAAAAGAAGAAGAGGGGAGAGATATTATATAGGAAGTTATTTGTTGATTAGTCCTCCTAACATGATTTATATCAAATTAATTCCAAGTAAAACATTATTCAATTAATTCTCTCTAACGATTAATTTCTTTCAAATTCTTTCAGATTTTTTTTTTAATATTATTTATATGTACGAATGAGAGTTCATATAAGTTACACGATGTTATGATATTTATTATGTCTCTTACAGTAATTAGCATAGTAACACACATAGTAGGTAATTGATTGGAACAGTAATTGTTAAAGGTGTGGTAACATTATTTAAAGAATTTTATGATATTTGATAAATAGAAAATATCTGTATAGTTTGATTTTTGTCAACTAACTTATAGAACATTAAGAAAACATATTTATATATATGTGGGTATAAATTTGATTTGAATTCAGCATTTACACGTATGAACACATATATATCACTCATCAGCAATATTACATACTCATGCAAATATGTATATCGTTTGCATAACAATAAAACATGCACACGTATTACCGAAAGATACTTTCATACTTTTTTAATGTAATATTTTGAAATTTCTTGGTGTGATATTACGAAAAAATGCAATGTAATGCACTGAATGAACGTCGAACACGAAGGTCAATATGTTTACAAGTTCGATGACGAGATTCTTAATAGAAAAAAATAGACAACATTAGAATATAGATACCGACCGAGGAGTGACGTATGTATGCATGATATAAACAAAATATTGAACGAACGAGAAACAACCGTTCCTTTCGATTAATTTAACCTCTAACTCATCCTTCCCTTCTCAGTTGTCATTCTTCTTAGCTTCTGATGAGACGTGTTTAGACGTATTCCTGTTTCACGTATTATAATATTTTTTTATACCTCATTTATTTTATTTAAATTAGATATAATGTTTTTTAACGCGATACTTTTTTCAATTAATAATATTTAAATAATTAATCACGTTAGATGTATTTTTTGTNTATTTTTATATTATTATATTATTTATATTTCATATATATATTTCTTATTAATTTTATTAAATTACTATTATTATTATTATTATAATAATAACCTTTGGCGATAATAGGTCCTCTTCCGAACCACTTTGTCCTGTGGTAAGGGATGTTGCAATGATCGACGATGCAATTTCTGAATCAGGTACGTACTCGTATGCTGTACAAATAATAAAAACGAAACAATAATATTTCTCTCTAATAATCATTTTAAATATAATTAATTTTAATTAAATAATTAAAAAAGAAAATAACCTTCGACGATAAGTGACGTTGTACAAACAGCCTCGCCAATAGGATTTGTAGCACGACAGGTGTATTGACCAGCATCCTCTGGGAATACTTCAGTAATAGCAAGACTACATAAACCTTCTGTATCTTGCCAAATAGTTATTTCTTTGCCTTCCTTGATCAACTTGTCATCGTGATACCATTCAACTTTTGGAATTGGTTTACCTTGTACAACGCAGGTTAAATTAACACTCTCACCGTCCATCACTCTGACAGGTGATAATCTTTTAACGAATGTAGGTGATATTAATTCGGTAGCTTCTTCCCAAGTTGTTTCGAGAAGATTAATGGTAGCCGTACAGGTAACAGAACCGCCAACATTTTCTGCACGACACGTATACGTTCCCGCGTATTCCGGTTTGATTTCTTTAACGAGTAAAACAGATCTGTTTTCTTTCGTTACTATTCTCATTTGTGCTGTAGACTGTTGGGAAAATAAACAAAATTAATCAAACAGGTTGTTCTATTTTTATTTTTATATTTCAATATTTAAAATTTATTATTCTAAACATCTGTGTTGATTGATGATGATGATAAAAATGATATAATTTACCTCGAGTGGTCGACTTTCGTAGAACCATTGGAACGATGCTGTCGGATAAGATTCAACACGAGCTTCCATGATAACAACTTCACCTTCCGCTACTATTTGTGGTTGCAAGGGTTCGATAAATCTCGGTGCTTTTACCTCGTCCGTTTTATCTTCTCGTTCCTTGATGGTAACCGAACCGGAACTTCGTGCTTCACCAGCAGGATTTTTAACTCTGACCTCGTATTTTCCACCGTCCGTTTTAACGGGTTCGGGTATCAGCAATTCCGTGGTATTTTCGTAAATTTCTATGACACGATTTTTACCGGGTACAATTTCGATTCCGTTGCGATACCATTTGACTTCGGGTTTAGGTTTGCTTTCGAAATCGGCTGTTAATTTTAATGGTTTACCACGTTCTGCAACCAATGCTGGCAATGGTTTCGTTATCGTTGGTGCTTGCATTACTTCTGGTTTAGAAATTTGAACTATATTGCTGATAACCAAATTGGCTCTACATTCTGCCCGTCCAAATTTGTTTACGGCACGTACACGATAAGTTGTTTCATCTTCCGGCATTGGTTTTAATAATGTTAATTTAGCTTCTCCCGTTTCCGGATTAAATATTATTTCCGTATCTTCCTTCGGTTTGATTTCATTTTCATTTCGATACCATTTAACTTCGGGTATTGGTGTACCAGTAACAATGCATTCAAGCGTTGCCGGTTTATGTTCTTCGACCATGAGTGGTTTGATTGGAATCGGGAAGTGAGGGGCAACACCTTCCTCTTCTTTTTCTATTGAAAAACATTTATTAAATAATATTAACGATCATTTGTAACGTTTAAGAAAATCGTGCACAAAAATCACACGGTAAAATGTGTTAATTAAAAGATTAAAAAAAAAAAAAAAAAAGTACAGAACAACGTGCAAGTATTTTTATTTATTTATTTGATATTTTTTTTTTCTTTGACAACGATTATTAGAAGAAAAAAATAAAATGACGATGCGTTATCTGTAAAAATAAAGATTATGTTTTAATAAAAGACATTATATTACAATGGGAGAAAATATTTTTTTAAAAAATGTGTATTTTTTTATTATAAAATTAGTGGGGGGAAGATGGTATTGATATTATATTAAGAAAGTTTTGTAAAAAAAAAAATATAGATGCAGGTATTTCGAAGCGAGTAAAAATGAACACACAAATCACACCATCTTTGATAATATCAGTACCAAAGATGACTAGGTTCACTGTTGACGTTGCAACTCCTGCCGGATTGGATGCTCTGCAAGAATACATTCCTGCATCTTCTTCCTTAACTTTGGTAATTTCCAATGTTGCTGTTGTTTCGAAAATTGTCATAATGTATTTTTCACTGGCGTGAAGTTCTTGTTCATTTCTATACCATGATATTTCTGGGACGGGATTACCGACAACCGTGCAAGTAAATTTAGCGGGTTGTTCGAGTTCCGCGATAATCGGTTGCAATTTTTGAATGAATCTTGGCGCAATTTTTTTGTCCTTATCTATGATCGGTATATCAACTTGTGTACGTTGTCTACGTCTACGTTTAGTTTCCTCGGTAACTTTTTCTTCAACAATATCTTCTTCAACTTTGTAATCATCTCGGACAACTTTTTCGGGTTTCTTATCGGTTTTGATTATCGTTTCTTTACGAGTTACTTGGAAATCTTGGACAGAAGTAACGTCTTGCGAAATGACTTCTTGTTTTTCTTCGGTTATCAATCGAGGGATAAGTTCTTCTTTAGGTTTATCTTTCTTTTTAGGTTTCTTCAATACCATTTCAGTACTGATTTCTTCTATTTCTTCTGGTTTCTCGGGTAATTCTTTTACTTTAATTGCTTCTGGTTTTGCTTTTTCTTTCTTTTCTGGTTTCGTTGTTATTGTTTCAACTGTTACTTCCTTTATTACTTCAACTTTTTCTACTACTTTGGGAATTGGTTTAGGTTCTTCGGGTTTCTTCGTAACGTCATCAACAATTTCTATAACCTTTTCGGCAATTTCTAACGGTTTATCTTCTATCTTCGTTTCTTCCGGTTTACGTCTGATCTTTCTCCACGATACTTCAGTCTTTTCTACAATTTCTTCGTCTACTTTTCGATCCTCGGGTACTCGTTCAACAACTGGTACAACAACATCTTCGATTTTCTTCTCCGGTTTTCTAACTTTTCGCCATGGCATTTGTTTTATTTCAGTTATTTCTTCGATCTTTTCTTCCGGTTTTTCCGAAATTTTCTCCGGTATTAAAATTTCTTTTTCCGTGATAACAGTTGTTTCTTTGATTTCTTTAGGACGTACTATCATTTCGGATATTTCCTTTTCTTCGTGTATCTCTGTTATCACTTGTTCTTGATCGATTGGCACCACGGTAACCTCTTCTTTAAAATCAACAACCTTTTTCGTTTTTCTACCACGTCGCCATGGGAAAATACTTATTTCTTCTGGCTTTTCTTCTTCCGGTTTTTCAACGACCGGAACAGGAACAACTTCTTCAGGTTTTACTTCGTCTGGTTTCTTTTCTTTTATGACAGGTTTCAGTTTGACTTCTACTGGAGCTTTTTCTTCAGGCTTTTTCTTTTCAACTGGTTTTAATGTTATTTCCTCTTTAGTTTCTTCTTCTTTAGGAAGTCGCTTGACTGGTTTTAATTTAATTTCCTCAGGTTGTATTTCTTCTGGAACCTTTTCTTTTCTAACAGGCTTGAGTTTAACTTCCTCTGGTGCTTTTTCTTCTGGTTTTTTGCTTTCAACAGGTTTTAATGTTATTTCCTCTTTAGTTTCTTCTTCTATAGGAAGTCGTTTGACTGGTTTTAAGTGTACTTCTTCCGGTTGAATCTCTTCTGGGACTTTTTCTTTCCTCACAGGCTTCAGTTTAACTTCCTCTATGGTTTCTTCTTCTTTGGGAAGTCGTTTAACTGGTTTTAACTGAACCTCCTCTGGTTGTACCTCTTCAGGAACCTTTTCTTTTCTAACAGGTTTTAACTTCACCTCTTCTGGTGCTTTTTCTTCTGGCTTTTTCTTTTCTATAGGCTTCAATGTTATTTCCTCTTTAGTTTCCTCTTCTTTAGGAAGTCGTTT